GGATTTTTCTTTTTGTATTCTAATATTTTTCAAATGTTTGTTAACTTGCATATTTATATATATGAAGTGCAAGGCAAGAAAATATTTATTATATTGTTTTCTGGCCACTTTTTTTTCATTTTATGATTGTGTCTGAAAATATTTTTTACTATAGAGGTAGGGATTGTTCGATATGCTTCAGTATGAGTCTCTCACACACTAGGCACCACCAAGTCATGGTATATATACACCATATCATGTACAAGTGGCTTTCTTAAAAATTTTTATGAAGGGCTTTATAACCTATAGTGACATGGAAACAGATATTTTATCATATAAAAGCTAGAGGTGGCAGTTGAGGTTTTCATCCTTTAATTATTTTTGGTATTGAAAATTCCTTACTATCAGATATGAATGTTTGGAGAAAACAGCAAAAATAATAATAATTGATACTTGGCAAATAAGCCACAATCCAAAACAACTGTGATTTTCATCCCTTTTCAGAAAATGTTTCATATGACAATCCTCTTGTGTCTTGAGTGTCATAGGATAGATTTACATAACTTGGGACAGGCAGAAAAAATTGTCAATATGCTTGTCAGATGGAAAATTATAATTGTGGCATTTGGTTCCTGCAAACATCACCTGTGGTCTCTGAGAGACAGAATAACATCTTGGGAATACTCCTGATGATTTTTTTTCCACTAAGTTTATTGGTATATTTTAGGTATACAATACAGTTACATTCAGCATTGGGATCGTGTACCTTTACATGATGCATCTTGGTTCTTATTTTTTCCCCATTCCCCTGCCTCTCCTGATGATTTTTAATGCCTGCTTGTAAGCATTCATCATCTATCCACTCTTTCTATAAAGAAAAATTCTTGTGAGTGTCAGATCTTCATTCTGGTTATAAGAATATTCAAGACCCACAATGATGTTGCATAATCTCATCACAAGTCAGGGACGCCACCAGGACTAGTAGCCTGCTCTTCTTTCTGCCCATAATCAGCTTTGTACACTCCTCCCAACCGAATATTTACAGAATGCTGAAGAGAAGGTATGTTTAATTGTGACACTAGCATCAGATGACAGTTCTCTGACTAGTAGGGTAGTATATTGTAATAAGGATATAAAATTCAGACTACAAATGGCTTTACATTTTCAGTCATAATTTGAGGAAAGTGAAGTTGTGTGTTTGTGTGTTAAAGGGGAGTGGTAAAAAAGAACTTCCCTATTTTTGTTTCAATCCTTTACCTTAAATTGAAGAAATTAGATGCTATTGAGATTGGGTGGCTATCCTAAATTCAAGCAATGTATTAGTATCTGAAATAGCAGTCAAATGAGTATTCTCATTTTTAGTTATTTCCATGACTTTATAAATATCCCTCCAAATTTTGCATTACATTTTCTCACAGTGGACAGGCAAACTTTAAATTTCCGCTGCCTGACATTGATTACATTTATTCTGAAACAGCCAGTAGTTCCATGTCACTTTCAGAAAATCATCAGTGAGCTGTTTATCAGTCGCTTGAATTGGCCATCAGATTTCTGGGCTGAAAGCCTTTGGCCTCCATTTTTTTCAGTCCTAAAATAGCTCCTGCTGGGCATGGTGGTACACTCCCATAATCCCAGCACTTGGAGGCTGAGGTAGGAAAACTGCAGTGAGTTCCAGGTCAGCCTGAACTATATAGTAAGACACTGTCTCCAAAAACAAGTAACAAAAATAAAAATTAAAAATAAACAAAATACCACTCCTCTATCTCTGCTCTGATTATAAAATTGCTGTTTATTCACTGAAGTTCAGCTCAAACACAAACTTCCCAGGAAGCCTTGCCCTCAATTCCCTGGCTGGGGTTAATCTTGTGTATATCCATGCAAAGTGGTTTGTGTATCTTTATAGTGTTATTTTCCCTTTTATTGAGCATCTTCGTTTCCCATTAGAAGACAACTCCCACAAAGGCAAGTGTCATGTATTTTTTTCTTCCTATACCACCTAAATATTAGGTATAAGTCTTGTCTAAACCTTGCTTTCAATCTGAGTAAACCTGAAGAAAAAAAAAGAGTGGTAGGTAGTAAGTTTATTCCAGAAAAGTAACCTTCTTGTTAGGTAATATCGTCTCCCCGATTAAAAGGAAGCTTCCAGAGGACCAAATACCTTTGTATATAACTGTTTTATTTTTCACAATTGTGGCATAGTTTTAAACTCTATCAACTAGACTTTATAAAAAAAGAAAATGAAAAGGGAACTTAGGAGGCTGAGATAGGGAGAGGAACAAATTTTTGGAGTTAGGGTTTCACTTGGCCTTTCTGCTTCCAATCTTCTTTGCTTTTTTGTCATAAGTCTAACTACATCTAGGTGTTTTTTGCTAGGTATTTCCTTGTGGTAAATTACCTTACTCTTTCTCTTCAATATTTTGAAAACCGCATCGTTATAACTTACCTTCTGCTTTGCTTTCATTTTTTATTTTGAATTTTTGAAAGCACCTGAAATAGGAAGTCTTAAAGTGAACTGGTTTGAGATCTCAGCATAGTTATAAATTAGTAAATAAATAGATAAATAAATAATTAGGGATTCACAAAGTTCTCTGCAGGTCCCTTGATCTCAGTCTGATTCCTGGAAACTCGGTTATGTTTCAGTTTTTCTGAACAGCTGTTGTTAAGGTATAAATAGGATTGGTGAAAGATCTAGTAGGTATTAGGAAATACCTGGCAGTGAGAATGTTCATATTGGCAAGGGTGTAAAAATGGAGCAGGTGATGTTCTAAGTAGAGAGAAATGTGGAATTAGGGCCAAAACCTGTCCCCTAGTTTAATATCTGACTAGCTATGTGATTGCACCCTTAGCTCTCCTCATCTTTTAGGAGAATTTTGACTAAAATCTCAGTTGTGCTTGAGTTATTATAACCTATAACATTGTGAATTATTCCAATGAATGCTTGAAGATAAAGGAATTATTGAAAAAGATGGAATACTTATATTGTGGAAATAATAGTTCAAAGAATAGGACAGCTAAGAAAGAACTATGTGGGTAGAGGAGAAGGAACCCACATTACTTTTTTAAGACCACGTGTTTAGCTTTAATTTTAATGAGAACAATCAAAGGCTAAGCCACCACACGTTTATCTAAAAGGAAACTGCATATTTCAGTTAGCTGTATATTTAGTTGTCTGTCCAGCTCAGGGAGTTAGAATGATAACAAAGTACTCTGTGAAATATGCACATGTCAACATGCATTATAAAATGTAACGGACACAGAAGGCTGTGCAAGTAGTTGTTGGAAATGCACACTATTTCTCATTTTCCATTTATGCATGGGTTTCCAAACAATATTTTATAACAGTTATCAGAGGGTGAATAGTTCCACACAACTGTACATTCTAAGTAAGTGAAGGTTGCTCTGTGGAAGCCAAACATTTGTTTAAGTAGACGCTCTGATACATTTTTTTGGTTAAACAGATTGCACACCTCTTTAAAAAGTGGAAGCAATGAAACAATTCAACATCTTCTTATGTATTGATTTAATCTTACCATTATGAATACAATTATTAGACTGTATTTTATATATAGCACAGTTATGAACTTCTGAGTGAATAATGAAAAGATAATGGAATTGAAGAATTATGCATAAAATGAAATAAATTGGGGATCATCCAGTATCAATTTTGCCTACTTACTGAGAACTTGGTTCTCAGTTAAACTTTAAGATGTTGAGATAACAAGGTAAATTCTTTCATGATAAAACACAACTTTTTCAGTAATATAGAAAATAAAATTTTTATGTGTTATAGATTTTATGTATACATGGCAATTACTAGGTGGAGAATCATAGATAGACCTATTTACAGGAAAAAGCTGTCTCCCCGAAGACAAAGGGAGTTGTGTTTTCAGTACGTGAAGCCAGTACAGAAATTCCAAAAGAGGTGGAATTTGGAGAAATTTCACTTGGAGAAACATAAAAATTCAAAATATCTGAAACCATCCTATCTTCACATGATTATCTTTTTTTGTTTTGTTTTGTTTTTTGAGATAAGGTCTTGTTATGCAGTTCAGGCTGACCTTGAACCCACTATGTAGCAGAGGCTGGCCTCAAATTTGCAGTGATCCTCCTGCCTCAGCCTCCCAAGTTCTGGGATTACAGGTGTGTGCCATTATGCCTGGCTCAGTATATTGAGTTGCATGTCTCCCATGCAGAAAAAAAGTCATAGAAAAACTACAAGACAGCAAAAACAAGAAAAAACATTTCCTAATATCAAGTATTATGGAGAAGTGATGGCCTGAAAATCTTTCTCCTGGGGTTTTAGCTCAGTGGTTCTGCTGCCTGCCTTGCAAGTAAGTGCAAGGTCCTGAGTTTGATTCCCCGGTACCAAAAAAATTTTTTCTCCCTTTCATATAATGGGATATACCAGAGCTGGTCATACAAAATATGATTAATGCTTAAGAAATGAAGTGGATTACTGGACATAGTGCTACATGCCTATAAACCCCAGCACTCTGGAAGGCTAAGACAGGAGGTTCATGAGTTCAATTTCTGCCTGGGCAACTGACGGAAACTGTCTCAAAATTAAAATAAATAAATTAATTAAAAGGTCTGGAGATGTACCTCAGCATGAAAACCCTGGATTCAACTCCTAATAGGGAAAAAATAAAAGCAGTAATATGGACTAATGGTGAATTAAATACAGAGTAATGAGAAGAGTATGATTTTAAATCTAAATTCTCTTAATTATTTACATATTACTGGAGGCAAGTTCTTTACTACCTCAGTCTCTGTAAAGCAAAGTTTTTACTAATTATATTATTTTTATTATGAATTTTAATTCATTTGACTTTTAAAAGGAAATATTCAAAATAGTAAATCAACATATTTTATGTGCTTATCATGTACCAGGTATTGGTATTTACTAGAAAATGTTATCTAGGGAAATTATAAAATCATGCTTAATAATTGGCAAACTATGATGGAGTGGCATAAGTATACCTCTTTCAGAAGGAAGATTTTAATTTCTTTTCATCATTTAGGGGAGGAGTCCCGCGACCTACAACTTCATATTAGGAGATACTCAGAACACACGGTTTCAGCAAAAACTTCCTTTAAAGTGGAGTGCCCTGGGAAGTATCGTGCTCATAGGCCTAACGTGACTTGGTGCAAAATCAATGGGACTGGCTGTTCACCTTTTGAGGACAGACTTCGGCTACGCACGAGTTGGGAAGAAGGGCTCAATAAGTCGACTTTTCTGCTACATTTTGAGCCAGTGCTTCCAGGAGACGATGGCTGCTACCGCTGTTCTGTGAATGCCCCTGCTCATCCATTCATTGCCACTCAACAGTCACCCACCTGACAGGTGAGTTCTTGAGCCCCGACCATCTCATGGTTTACTTCTCATGTTTTCAGGAAATGGAAGGTCCAGATGCTCGAATCATTAGGTTAGAGACTGAACATCCATATCACATCAAGTCTACCACACCCTTATAAATCGTGATGTGCAAGAAGGCATATGTATTTGCATGTGTGTGTTTGGGCTGAGTGAGGTAATGAAGATAAAAATATAATGAAAATCATTGTCTTTAAGGATTATTAACTCCATTTGATAAATCCAAAAGTATGTCACTGAAATTGTGAAAAAATTACAAAATGAATACCAATAATTGTAGATAGTGTTTCATTTTTTTTTTATTTTATTTTGTTTTGTTTTTTGGTACTGGGGATCGAACTCAGGTCCTTGCTCTTGTGAGGCAGGCGGCAGAACCACTGAGCCAAATCCCCAGCCCACATTATTTGTTTTTTTGTATTTTATTTTTTTCTGTTTTCTGTCCTTGTCTATGGTGGATTATACTTTATAGAGGTTATGTTTGTGGTGCTGTGATGATTACATACTTGCAAATAGTTAGTAATTTACTTAGAACTGCAAAGAACCTGACTACCAAATGAGTTCTTGGGAATAGACAGGGCTTCAGTGGGTTGCCAGGACCTCCCCAGAGACCTTTAATTGGCTGTAGCTACTGAGGAAGGACATGTAGAGGTTGAAGAGGGGAAAAACAAAATGAACAAAGCATGGGAATAAAATAAAGAGGGAAGAATAAAGGACAACAACAACAAAAAACATGTTTTGGCTATGAAAATGCCATAGCCACAGTCTTAGTGATGAAAGACTGAATGCTTTCTCCTAAACAAAGGAATAGGACAAAGTTGCCTGCTTTTGCCACCTCTATTCAATATCAAAATGGAAATTCTAGCCAGAGCAGTTAAGTTAAAATGAGAAATGGAAAGCATCTAAATTGAAATGGAAGAAATAATACTCTCTATTCACACAGATGGCATGATGCTTAAACGTTTGAAAAAACAAAAACAACAAAAAACCAAACCCTACAAGTTAATACATAAATTCAGCAAAGTTGTAAGACATAGGATCAACACAAAAATTACTGGTATTGTTACACGCTAGCAATCAACAATATGAAAAGGAAATTAAGAAAACAGTCCCATTTATAATACTATGAAAGAGAAAATAATATGTGGAAATAAATTTAACCAAAGTGATGCAAGACTTGTAAATTGCACAAAGGAAGCATGGCTGAAAGAAATTATAGGTGATATAAATAAATGGAAGAATATCTTTTGTCATGAATCAGAAGACTTAGTATTATAAAGATAACAGTAGTCCCCAAGATAATCTACAGATTCAATACAACTCCATCAAATTCCAACAGCTTTTTTTTTTCTGAAATAGAAAATCTGATCTTAAAACTCATGTTACAGACCCAAAATAGCTACGACAGTCTCGAAAAAGAAGAAAAAAGTTGGAAGAGTAACACTTCCCTTTTGCAAAATGTACTATAATACCTTAGTAATCAAAGCAGTGTTGTACTGACATACGGAGAGGCATAGACATAAATGTAATCAAATTGAGAGTCCTGAATAAATCTATGTATTTATGGGCAATTGATTTGAGACGATCTTGTCAATGCAATTCAATGAGGAAAGTAAATGGTGAGTAATCTCATCAGTAAATGGCAGCCTGGGATATAGCTAAATAGCAGAGCTCTTACCTACTATATACAGGGCTCAATGTTTGATTTCCCAGCACTGAAAAACAACAACAAGAAAGCAATATAAAACAAATAATGTTGGAACAGTTGTATATATGCACACAAAAAGAATGAAGGTGAACCCGCACCTCACAACAAAAAAGAAATAGATACAAATGTACCAGAGATTTATCTATAAAAACTAAAAACTATTTCTATAGAGAACTCTAAACCTGTATATAAAACTGTACATCTTTTTGATCTTGGATTTAGTAATAATTTCCTAAATATGAGTATAAAACCATAAATTATAACAAAAATAGTTTAATTAGGCTTCATGAAAATTAAAAACTTTTCTGTATCAAAGAACACTATCAAGAGAGCAAAAAGACAACCCACCGAATATGAGAAGATATTTGCAAATCAGAACATAGCCCAGAATATATATGAACTCCTACAACTCAACACAAATACACAAACAACTTTTTAAAAAACAGAGGATTGAATAGACATTTCATTAATAACACAGATATACAATAGAATATTTAAAAATGCTCAGTGCAATTAGTCACCAGAAAAAGCCAAATCAAAACCACAATGAGATTGATAGCACTACATAGACTCAGTAGAATAACTAGAATTAAAAAAAATGAAAATTAAAAAAGTGTTAGCATGTATATGGAGAAATTTGAACACTCTTACATTGCCTCTGGAAATGTAAACTGATGTGGTTGCTTTGGAAAAGAGCCTGAAAATTCTTCTAAAGTTTACCCTAATTGTCACAGGACCAAGAAATGGCATAGCTAGGTAAATATCCAAGTGAAACTAGGTTAATAGGAAGTAGGGAGGTAGCTCTTTCTCAACTGGGAAGGGATCAGCAGATAGAGGGATAAGGAAGAGAGGGGAGGGAAAGGGAATAAAAAAATAAGATGTGCTAAGTATGTGTACTAACTCCCCAGAAGGAATGTAAACAGTATGCATTGTAAATGTGTACTAATTAAAAAAGTTTAAATAAAATTAATTTCCACACAAAATTTATATATATTTATAATAGTAATACTTATTATAGCCCCAAAGTGGAAGTAATCTAAATGCTTATCACTTGCTGAATGAATAAAAGAAATGTCACTTAGCCATGGAACAGAATATTGTTCAGTCGTAAGGAGGAATGAAGTACTGCTACGTGCTACAACATGATGAACCCCAGGAAGGTAATGCAGTCTCAGAAGCCAGATGGAAAAGCACGTTCTGTTCAGTCCTGTACTCTGAGGGTTTTATGTATTTTATGCTGATACAGAGTATGAGGAGGAAGCAGTGAAAAAGTCTAAGAGCTAAATAAAAGACTTCATGAAGGGCCTTTGTTTCTTTTTGATGATTTCTACTCTTTTAGTTTCCCACTTTCCTATGCTGCTTTCTTACCACCTCCTTTCGTGATCAGCTTGTCAGCTCATGCTTCTGGCCTTTGCTGGGTATTCCCCAGGACTCAGCTTTGTCTTTCTTTCTTTTGTTTTTTAATTGAATTTATTGGTACATTTTAGGTATACAGTACAGTTCCGTTCATCATTGGGATCTTGTACCTTTACGTGACAGGTCTTGGTTCTCATTTTTCCCCTTGTCCCTGCCCTCCCTTCACCCCCTCCTCCCCTCCCCATTTACAAACACTTTATTTCCATCTTTTCATTTTCTCACATTTTTTTCTTATCCCTTATTACCTTTCCCCTACCCTTCCCACTCTCCCTACCCATTTAGCCCTTTTCTTCCCATTTCATAATGTCAGTTATCTCATTTGGATCTTATGTACTATTATAGTTTATTCACACCAGAGAAACTATTCTGTATTTACATGTATGACTTACTTATTTCTCAACATGTATCCATTTTCCTACAAATCAGTCTAATTTCTCATTTTTTATGGCTGAGTAATATTCCCTTTTATAGAAAAATCACATCTTCTTTATCCAGTTTCCAACTGATGGGCAAATGGGCCGTTTCCAAGTTTCAGGTATTACAAACTGTGCCGCAATAAACATTGGTGCTCATATATCAGTGTGATATGATTCTTTTAATTCTTTTGGAAAGATACCAAACAGAGGGATAGCTGAGTCATATGGAACCTCTAGTCCCAGCTCTTTGAGGTATCTCCATATTGCTTTCCATAGTGGTTGCACCAGTCTGCACTCCCACCAACAATGGAGAAGGGTTCCTTTCTCCCACAACCCTGCCAATATTTGTTATTGGTTGATTTCTGGATAGCAACCATTCTTTGTGGGGTGAAGTGGAATCTCAGTGTTGTTTTCATCTGCATCTCTCCAATGACCAGTGATGTGGAACATTTTTTCAAATATTTGCTTGCTGCTTTTACTTCTTTGTCTGAGAAATGTTTGTTCATTTCGGATGCCCATTTTTGAATTGGGTCTTTATGTTTGGGGGAGCTGATTGTTTTGAGTTCTTTATATATTCTAGATAATAGTCCCTTGTCTGAGGAGCAGCTGGTAAAATTTTTTTCCCACATTGTAGGTTTTCTCTTAGTTCGGTTGATGGTTTCTTTTGCAGTGCAGAAGCCTTTTAATAAGATGAGGTCCCAGTTATTGATTCTTTCTTCTAGTTCCCGTGCTACTGAGGATTTGTTCATAAAGTCTTTTCCTATGCCAATGTCTTCAAGAGTTCTGCCTAACTTATCTTTCAGCAAGTTTAGAGTTTCTGTTTTAATGTTTAGATCCTTAATCCACTTACATTTTAATTTAGTGCATGGTGAAAGTTAAGGGTCCAGTTTTAATCTTTGGCAGGTTGAAATCCAGTTTTTCCAGCACTATATATTAAAGAGGCTATCTTTCCTCCACTGAGGATGGTCAGCTCCTTTGTCAAAGATGACATTCAGCTCTGTATTTCTATTCTTCACTGTCAGCAACCTCCCACACTGTGGCATGTTCCCATGATAGCTTGCATGAGCATGTTAGACCTTTATTATTGTCTTTCTAAATGATTCCAATAAATGGTATCATGACGTCTTATCTGGAGCATTTACACATTTTAGTTCATGTTCGCTAACAATCTTCCTTATATACTTGCCTAATATACTTTTTCAATAATGCTACTCTTCTACTGAATTTCCTACAAAGCATGTTGAGTGTTCATGAGACGGGGTTCATGTTTGCTGAGCAACATTCAGAGTTCCCACAGTTCATCCTCGCCTACTTTTCTGGGTTGCTTCTTAATTCCACGTAGAACCTGTCAACTCCAGCCTAACAGCTGTACTCGTTATTGCCATGTCTTTTTTTGTTTTTGTTTTTGTTTTTGTTTTTTGTTTTTTGATCAGGGTCTCACTGTGTAGTTGCGACTGACCTGGAACTCACTATGTAGCCCAGGCTGGTCTCGAATTCACAGCGATCCTGCTGCCTCAGCCTCCTGAGTGCTGGGATTACAGGAGTGCGCCACCACGCCGGGCTTGCCATGTCTTTACCATGACTCTTCTGATGCTGTCTTCACTACTTGTAGCACATCAGCTCATCTGTCTCCACCTATAAAAATCCAAACCCTTCTTTCAAGTCCAGCTCATTATCCAAATTCTCAAGGAAGACACCCACATTCACCCCAGGGGAAGGAATTTTCACCAATTTTTATGTCATTTAATATCTGTATCTTTCATTTCATACACATATTTCCTTTCACTATAGTAATGTGTGGAAAGGTCTTGGAAATTTCATAAAATATTATAATGTCCTGGAAAAGAATTGTATCACATTTCTTTCAGTTGTTTTCATTTCTTCTGCAAAAGTCAAATAAATTATTTAGGAATTAGCCTTAATTTAAACTGGGTGTGGGTTTCCCTTTAGTGAAATGGTGAAAATAAAGATAACAAGGACAAGGTCAAAGAAAACTTCCCTTTTCTGAATCTAAGAGTACATAGTGAAATAAGTGTTGAGTGAAAAGCTCTGGAATTTTATTTAAGGACCATAATTTTTGTAAATTAAATTTGAATATATGATGAAAACATTTTATTTTCTCTATTTGAAATTTCTTTTCCTGGGCTGGGGATTTAGCTCAGTGGTCCCACTGCCCACCTTGGAAGCGGAAGGTCCTGAGTTCGATCCCCAGTACAAAAAAAAAAAAAATTCTGGATGCATGTTAGGAATTTCCTTGTTGTAGTTGTTTTTTAAATCTGACTCTTCTTTGCTGTTTATAAAAATGTGTTTGCATACGAGTAGGTGTTTGAGAAAGTAGGGGCTTGGATGTCCTTGGGAAAGCAGTCATCTCCTGGAATGAAGAAAAGCACTTTATACAACAAAGCAAACTCAAGAGAAAAGTTGATAGAGGGGGAGAACAGTGACGGGAGCATACATTGGCCTGTACTGTGTTCTCCACCTGCCCTTGGTAAGTTTCTGAACAGGAATTTCACAGAGGTGAGGTGGTTCTTATCAGTGTGGAGTGAAAGGCACAGGCTGTTTGAGAAGGAGCTCCCAGAATGTCATCAAAACATCACTTCCTTGTGACCTTCTGCACTCCCTTGAAGCACCTACTGAATGTGTGTCTTGTTATTGCAGGTGGCAGAGGGGGAAGAAGCAAAGGGCAATAAAAACAGACAGAGGAAGGTTATGCTCATTTGTACAGTCTTTCTTTGGGCCTGAAACTAATTCAAGGAGTACTTTACGTGCCAAGACTTCAAGGTGATGATCCACAAATTGCACCAACTGCACCTGGGCTGGATGACTGGATTCCCTGTTAGTGTGCAAACACTGGGGTCCTCTCCAAGATGAGCTCTGATTTTAGAAATACCTGAGTAGTTATCTTCACTGTTTTCTCAAACAATTTCAATTATTAGTATTGTTTTTCTATTTCAGAACAGGCTCAAAATAATTCAGAACACACTCTAATAAGTAAGTATCAAACTAATCAAGTAAAGTTAACAGAGTTGTTTGTTGGTTGCAGAAATAATACAAATTTTTTTTTCTTTCTTTTCTTTTTGGTACTGGTGATTGAACTCAGGACCTTGAACTTGTGAGGCAGGCGTGCTGCCACTGAGCTAAATCCCCAGCCCCAAATTAGTTTTTCTGAATTGGGAGGATTTGTTTGTATTAGATTATCTGTTGTTTGCTACCCAAACTTCTCTCCCAGACAGCTGTGTCTGCCTCTCCTGGCAGTGATTTGGCTCCTTGCCCACCCTAAACAGCAGCTGCAGCATGAACACTGTGGCATTTGTTACTACTCTGAATTACCTAACTAAATGTCCAGGATTCACCCAGCTTCAATTGCCTGTGACCATTTTAACCCTAAAATCAAGTATCAAGGGAAACAAATGTGAATTTTAATACAAAGTTTTACTTCCATACTTTTCATTCTGTGTAACAGTAACCCACAATAAGAAAAATTTACATCATAACCCATAACATGCACATATTTTTAAGGTTCCTCAAAGTCATACTTATGACAGGCTTCCTCTACTGACCTTTTGGGTTGAATAATTCTTCGTAGTGAGGCGAGAATGCATGGTGTCTTGACCTGTACTCACTAGATGCTAGCCTCCTTCCCCACCCACCTTGCCATAACCAGAAATGTCTCCAGACATTGCTGTGTGTTCTCTGGGGTGGGTATGTTGGAGGGCAAAGTTGTTGCATTGGAGAGCCATTGCCCTAGTATATGTGATTTTTATTCTGTTTTTCTTTTTTTTTTTTAATGTTACTTTTGTGCTACTAACATTTTTTTACATGGTAAAAAATAAGTTGCAACTGTGAACAAACAGGGCCTTAATACATATTAACTCTGACCAATAGTAATGAAAAGTAACTATATATAAGGCCAAAATTATCTAGTATTTGGAGATAACAATGAATTATAAGACAAAAAAGGGCATTTAGAATGAATTTAGTGGGGAAACATGTAGGTTGAATCCCAGCTGCTACCTTGCAGATGTTTGACTTTGGGCAATTCTTGAAACAATGACACTCTTAAGTCGCAGGACAGGATAAAGGCTCTGGCTTCTCTAATTTCCTCAAGTGGTGAACATGAGCATTAAGTTAGATACTGTAAGTGCAAGGGTTCGATGAAGTGCTTTTTGAGAGCTGTTATGGAGATTGTTCTACGGATTAACCTTAACAAAATGAAAGATTTTTGCAAAACATGAAAACGTGTTTGGGGGTAGTGAGGCCTCCAAAGGGTAAACAGAGGCATCAGCCTGAAATTTCCTTCATCAAGGTTGCGACAATGCAGAACAATGTTGCTGAGCCTAATATAGCTCAGATTTCCTGACTGTTTTTAGCATTGACTGAATTCCTGATGCAACCAGTGCTCCAGGACCACCCTTCAAAGAAGAGCTTGCGGATGGGCTATGGCTCCTCTACAGTTTACTTTCTTTGGGGGGATTTCCTCTGCTTGTCATTGTCTGTTTTTGCCTGTTCTGCTTCCTGAAAAGGCACCAAGGTGGGTTCTGTTTTCCCTTTCTCCCTTTGTCCCTTTGTATCACACATTTGGGATTCTTTTTTCTGAGATAGATTTTAAATGGACTCCGGCTGTTTTTTCTCCCCAATCTTCTATGATAAACCATGGATAATGACTTCCTGGGAGACTACTCATATTTTCACTAAAAGGCCTACAGGGATGGATTTGGGCTCCCTCTACTCATGGGAAGGCATGTTCCCCACAACACAGTGCCCCACCAGGGCTGTGATGAGGAGATCGAATTTCCCCATTTTATTTGCATCACTGCTAGGTTTGTATGAGAAAGCTCTGCTAAACTTTAGCAGAGTTGGAAGAGAGGTTGAAATAATCTCTCAGATCAATAGGTCCAAGTCCATCTCACCCTCCTTTTCACCAATACCACATCATTCTAGTCTAAATAAAGGACCAGTGTCCGCAGAGGGAATCATATGTGTGTATGCTTTCTATTTCCACCTTAAACACATGCTTGAATTGAATCCTCACTCAACACTATCGCACTTGAGATAAAACATATTAGGAAAAAGGTCCTGTGCAAATGGAAAGGAGACCAAGAGTTGGAGGGAGAGGAGAGGGGGAGGGGGAGAGAGGAAGGGGTTGCAAACAGATGTGCTAGGTACTTGTACCAACTCCCCACATGGAGTCTAATCGCCATGTACAGAAAATATGTACTAATAAACAAAAATTTGAAAGAGAAAAAGCAATATTTCATTTGAAAAGTATGAGTTTGGCTATGATGAGCGAGGTGAAATATTTTGAAAACAATTCCTGTCTACTTTTGTAAACATTCAGTGTCATCACCCGACTCTTAAACACAGAAAGAAATGCATAGAGATTTCTGATCTGTATCTGATCAGGTCTACTTCGGTTTTCTCTCTCCCTTTCCCTCTTCTCTATCTTCTCATCCTTTTCCCCCACAAAACCAGATACAGTATAGCTACAGAAAGTGAGCCAGGCAGAGCAAGTGTTTTCAGTTTCAATAGGAGAAAGCTATGCCAGGTCAGAAATGCTCCTGGTGTTTGGAAGGGAAGAAATTCAGAGTGCAGATCATCAAATTTCTGAAGAATCCGCTCTAATCTCAACTCTTCCCTGGATCTCTATGGCTCTTTCTACAGTCTGTTTAGATTTCATTATCTTGCTTGAAGTTGCTAGAATGTCTCTCGGAACTTCAGAAAAAAAGAAGCAGTGATAAATCTTTTTATTTATCATATCCTAAGTGAACCTGTGTAGTAAGAAATTATGCCACCGAGTATATGAAATGTTCCCAGAGCAAAGACTTCTGACTTTTTCAAAATGAAGTACTATGGTCCAGGGCCTGGGATTTAGCTCAGTGGTGCCACTGCCTGTCTCACAAGTGCAAGGTTCCAAGTTTGATCCCCGGTACCAAAAACAAACAAAGCAAAACAAAAACACCCAAAACACACACACACACACACACACACACACACACACACACACATAATTACAAACTGAAGTACTAGATCCTGCTCCTTCCTCTTGGAGCTGATACAGAGTTCTGTTCTGTAAGAAATGCTGGGACGGAAGTGGGCAACCATGAATTCTTACCAAATGAGGTGGCATATTAGCCAAGGCAAATAAGCCAAAGTTAAGGACACTGTTGCTCTAGTGGGCAGTGTGGTAGAGGAGTATAGATGGGAAAGTCCTTGCCTTTGATTTCTTGACTTATTTTTATTACTTTTTTTTGTTTTCTTGTCTTCCAAAAAAAAAGAAAGAAGCCATCTGATATGGCCAGAAGGGAAATTAACCTGGTAGGTTTGATGTAACTGTTAAGACAGATGGAAATTTGTGCTACACCACATTTATTATTTTTCAATAGTTTATATATTTGCTAGGATCCGGGCACTATTCTAAGTATGATAGACAGATAGATAGATAGATAGATAGATAGATAGATAGATAGATAGA